ATAATTCCAGTTATACAGGAGGAGATTGTGAAGATTGCTGTTTGAGGCCAGCCTGAACAAAAACTTGGTGAGATCCTCACCCAACTAAAGTAGAATTCTAGGTGTGGTATGTTTCTGTTGTCCTACCTACATGAGAGGGCATAGGTAGGAGGATTTGTCTGAACTGGGCTACAAGCACAAAATAAGACCCTATCTGAAAATTACCCTAAAGGAAGAAGGACTTGTGGGTACAGTTCAAATGACAGCATATTTTCCTACTAAATGTGAGACCCTGAGTTTAAACCTTAGAACTACAATAGAAGGGAGAAGTGAGAAAGCGTGCAAACAACCCAAAATCTCTTGTAAATAAAATGAGGCAAAAACATGAAGAGGAATTAAAAACATAAATATAAGCCGGGCGCCGGTGGTTCACGCCTGTAGTCCTAGCTACTCAGGAGACTGAGATCTGAGGATCACGGTTCAAAGTCAGCCTGGGCAGGAAAGACCGTGAGACTCCTATCTCCAATAAACCACTAGAAAACCAGAAGTGGTGCTGTAGTTCAAGTGGTAGAGCGCTCGCCTTGAGCTGAAGAGCTGAGGGACAGCGCCCAGGCCCAGAGTTCAGGCCCCACAACCAACCAAAAAAACAAAAAACCCCATAAATAATAAAAATATTATTACAATATGAAAGATGTTGGAAAAAAAGTTGAAAGGTGACAATGTATTGGAGAAGCTCCTTTCCGGCTCCTTGACTATTGGAATCTGTGAGAGGTGTATGTGTGGTCAGTAAGTCCTAGTTAGAATTTACTGTTGTCAGTTTTCACTTTTCAGGCTGATGCTCCAGTGGACAAGGCCAGCTCTGTTAAGGGTGCAGTGTCAGTCTCAGGGCTCTGTTTACTGTAGAAGCGTTCTTCTTTGCATGCTGGGAATTGCTACTGGCTCCGGTGAGCTTTGTGGCCTGTGTACTGGTCAGATTCCAACTCACACCAGAGGGCCCCCTGTTTGTGCACCAGGACAGCAAATATCCAGGCCACGGAGAGTGGGCGATACAAATGGCACTGAGACCTACACTGGAGGTGGTGAACCACGGGAACCTGGCACTTTGCCTGCCTGTCTTAGGGCTGTCACATTCTGTCTTTCAGTAAACTACCCTGAAGGATATAGGAAGCAGCAGCAATCAAAAAATCTTCATGGCCTGGTCTCAGAGCTCTCTGTCCTAACCTGCAACAAACCACATGCATCAATGAGGCACAACCTTCTAGAAGCTGAGCAATGTGCTGACCACAGGCTTGGACCTCTTAGTCTCTGTAGGAATCTTCAAGCTATGGGGTTCACTCTTGTTACACAGACTGTGTCAACTTCTAGCCCAAATTTTGCTCCTTAAACTCAGTAGGTCAGTGTCCAATCTGCCTCTAGTGCCCAAGCACTGTGGCAGCTTGTCCCCAGGGACCTTGCTTTGGTATTCTTGTTTTCAGGTTCCCAGAGTAGCTCAGTCTCAAATGATAGGCTCCCTATAGCAACTGGCTATAGAACTGTGAGATAGCCACTTCTTCTCCAGTGCCAAACAGTGATGCCAGAGTCATTGTCAAACCATATTTCCTGCTGGATTTAAAGATTTCAAAAACTGTGTGCTTATTTTGCTTCTAGGATTGCCAGACTGTTGGCAACAGGGCTGCCTAGCTTACCTTGTTTGTGGTTAAACCTTTGTGTCTCTACCTGCTTTTAGTCCTGTCAAGGTCATTTTTAGGTCAAGTTGGAGAAAATGAATATATTGTTCTTTAATAATGTACCAGTGTTTAGTTTACTTGATATGATAATGGTCTGAAGATTATATAAGAGAAAGTTCTTTGTTTTAAAGAAATTTAGGCTATCAATGTGTGCAACATCCAAATACATTAGCAAAAATTGCCAGTACTGGGACTTGAACTTAAGGCCTGGATGTTGTCTTTAAGCTTTTCTTTTTGGGTCCGGTCGTGGGGCCTGAACTCTGGGCCTGGGCACTGTCCCTCAGCTCTTCAGCTCAAGGCTAGCGCTCTACCACTTGAGCCACAGCGCCACTTCCGGCTTTTTTCTTTTTTCTTATGTGGTGCTGAGGAATCGAACCCAGGGCCTCATGCATGCAAGGCAGCACTCTACCACTGAGCCACCTTCCCAGCCCTCTTTAAGCTTTTTTGATCAAAGCTAATGTTCTTCCACTTGAGCCATAGCTCTACTTCCAGCTTTATTTTTGCTTGCGAATTGGAGATTAGAATCTCATGGACTTTCCTGCCTGGCCTGGCTTTGAACCTTGATTCTCAGCTCACAGCCTAGTGAGTACCTAGGATTACAGATGTGAGCCACCAGTGCCTGACTTCTTTTGACAGTTTTCAAAATAAAGAATTTGGAAAAAAAGAAATACAAGTTGTAAGTTTAAAAAAACAAGGTTCTTGGGCTGGGAAGGTGGCATAGTGGTAGAGTGCTTGCCTTGAATGCATGAGGCTCTGGGTTCGATTTCTAGCAACACATAAGCAGAAAAAGCTGGAAGTAGAAAAAGCTGGTGTGGTTCAAGTGGTAGAGAGTGCTAGCCTTGAGCTGAAGAGCTGAAGGACAGCACCCAGGCCCAGAGTTCAGGCCACATGATCGACAAAAAAACCAAGGTTCTCTGATACAAAACAATGCTAGAACAGTTGTTCTGCAGCATTTTATTATCTCAAAGTCAACAATCTCAATAGCCAACTATTACCATCCTGGGAAACTTAACCAAGTTGAATCATCTCTAGAAGTATAATTTACCACTAGTAATTGATTTAATATTGTGTGGATAGGACACTTGATATTGGTAATGAAAGACCTGATTTTACCTTTTGTTAATTCTGAACTCTTCTTGGCTACCCTTCTATATTTTGTGACCTTAGTTCATAATTTGGATCAGTTCATACTTGCATTTTTGGAAGTTTTTTTTTCTTCTAACTCTTCAGGCAAAGTTAGGAGCTTGTAGTCAGGACATACTGTTCTTTTGTTTCTTCTTCCTTGTGCTTAGGACCAAAGATTTGCTTTATTATAATAAAAACCCTGCATTGTCTTACCTGAGTTATGGGTAGAGTCTTATATATGTAGTAAAAGCAATTTTAGCAATTTTAAACTTGCACATAAATGTGTGGGCATAGTTTACACATACTTGTAGTTTTTTGTTTTTGTCGGTTGTGGGGCTTGAACTCTGTGCCTAGGCTCTGTCCCTGAGCTCTTCAGATCAAGGCTAGCGCTCTATCATTTGAGCCACAGTGCCACTTCTGGCCTTTCCTGTTTATGTAGTACTGAGGAATTGAACCCAAAGCCTTATGCATGCTAGACAAGCACTCTACCACTAAGCCACATTCCCATTCCCTTTATTTAGTTTTTATTATCCTATATAAGTTATATGGGGTGAGAGGATTCATTGTTACATTTCCACATGTTTACAATGTATTCTAGTTAATCTCACTCCCTATCCTCTTTTTCCCTTCCCAAAATAATTTTAGTAGTTTACATTGTTTCATTTTCATAGTTGTAAACAATCTATTTCAACCATATTCATGCTCTTTCATTCTCTGTGTTGTCATTGTATGTTTATTTAGTAAAACAACTTACGTCAGAACAGTGAAATATTATACTTCATTATATTTTAAGGTAAATGATACAGTTGGAATTATGAATCAAGTTTAGACTATTACTTCATAACTGAAAAGAGAATTATTGATAGCATTATGCTATGTTGTATAGAATAAACTTGTAAGTAAGTAAATTACACTTATTTAATTCATGTGTCTTATTCATACATAATTATTTTAGGTTTGTTGAAGTAGAAATGTATAATTTTGAGTTCTTTGCTTAAAACTTTTTTTTTTTTTGCTAGTCCTGGGGTTTGACTCAGGGCCTGGGTCCTGTCCCTGAGCTTCTTTTGTTCAAGTCTAGCACTTTACCACTTGAGCCACAGAGCCACTTGCAGCTTTTTCTGTTTATGTGGTACTGAAGAATTGAACCCAGGGCAAGCACTCAACCACTAAGCAACATTCCCAGCCTTAAAACGCAATATTCTCATTGAAATGTACTTCATTTGGATGCAATTTTGTGAAATTTGTGGTTTTAATTTTTTTAAAAAGAGTAAATTTAGTAGTTATTTCCTGTATAGTAGTTATAATAGTATATTTACTATTGTAAATACACCCATCTACTGCCCTCCATAGTTAGACTTTTTTTTTTTTGGCCACTCCTGGGGCTTGAATTCAGCCTGTCCCTGAGCCTGAGCTTCTTTTTGCTCAAGGCTAGTGCTCTACCACTTGAGCCACAATGTCACTATTGGCTTTTTCTGTTTATGTGGTACCCAGGACTTCATGCATGCTCGGCAAGCACTCTACCACTGAGCCACACTCCCAGCCCTGCCCTCCATAGTTAATATATCTTAATTGTCAAGTGACATAAGGTTTAAAACACTTTTTTGTTTTGTGCTGGTAGTGGGGCTTGAATTTGGGCTGGGTGCTGTCCCTGAGGTCTTTTGCTCAAGCTTAGTACTCTGCCACTTGAGCCACAGCACCACTTCAGGTATTTGGTGAGTTATTTAAGATAAGAGTCTCATGGGCTTTTCCTGCCCAGGCTGGTTTTGAAACCTGATTCTCAGATCTCAACTCTTGCATAGTATAGGAATGAGCCATTGGTACCTGGCCCAATTCTCTTTCTTTATTGAAACACAGCCATGAGATTCGAGACATCCTTTCTTCATAATTGTGCTATGCCTGCCTCAGTTTATAGCTGTTGACAGCTGCTCAAATATGTTTATGGTAGAGTTTTGCAGAATTGTAGTCTTTCCTTGGACTAAAGTAACGAATGGGTATTGAGAATTATTATTTTGTTTTAAACTTATTTGGGGAGTATTTGTGACTTGAAGTACTTGTTCTATTTCCTTCAAGTTAATGGGTTTAATAGACTAAAAGTACTTGATTAACATGTCAAATATGTCATTGGTAAAAGTTCTTTAAATCTTACTTGGTCTTGTATTCTCCAAACAGAGACTCTACAGGAGCAGGTAATTCACTGGTCCACAAGCGGTCTCCTTTACGTCGAAACCAAAAGACCCCAACATCCTTGACCAAGCTGTCTTTACAGGATGGACATAAAACCAAAAAGCCAGCATGTAAATTTGAAGAGGGTCAGGATGTCCTAGCTAGATGGTCAGATGGCTTGTTTTATCTTGGAACTATCAAAAAGGCAAGTTATGTTTTGTTTTTATTGAAGTAAAACTTCTAAATGATTTTTAATTTAACTTCATGTTTACATGTTTAAGAAATCATCAAATTCCTCTGTATTACAGATAAATGTATTGAAACAGAGCTGCTTCATCATATTTGAAGACAGTTCTAAATCCTGGGTTCTCTGGAAGGACATTCAAACAGGCAGGTGCTACTATTTCTCTTGAACATCTTTTATGCTAAATTTTGATTTTGCAATATGCCAGCTTCTGTCGTTGGCTGTGCAGTGAAGGGACCTGCCCACTGAAAGTTTCACCTAATATGTTAGATTAGTGAACTGTTTTCTGTTGTCACGTTGCCTTATATTATCCCTAAAATTATTAGGGATCACTTGGCCATTTTACTCTTTTATTTTTTATTGTGAAAATATGGTACAGAGGGGTTACAATTACATGGGCAAGGAATACTTTTCTTGTTTTTTTTTTTTTGGGTCCGGTCATGGGGCCTGAACTCTGGGCCTGGGCACTGTCCCTCAGCTCTTCAGCTCAAGGTTAGCGCTCTACCACTGAGCCACCTTCCCAGCCCCTGTTGTATTATTTTTAATTGTGATTGTTGAAACCCAGTACTAACTGAAAAGAGAGATATCCTACTTAAATGAAGAGTCAATTTTAGCATCTTCAGCTGTCTGAATCATATCTATATATACATGTATGTATTTAAACCTGTCACACTGCACATGGTCACTCAAGTCTGTAATACTAGACATTTAGGAGGATCATTTTCCAAGTTAGCTTGAGCTAAAAATTTTTGAGGAAACCCTCCTACTCCATCTCAATGAACAAGAAGAGTATTGTCAGGCATGTCTGTGGTCCCGGTTACTTGGGAGGACTAACAAAACAAACTGCCAGAGAGACTTTATGATTGAAAGAATCAGAGATCACATTTATTTTTTATTTTTGTTTGTTTGTTTTTTTGGGTCCGGTCATGGTGCCTGAACTCTGGGCCTGGGCGCTGTCCCTTCAGCTCAAGGTGAGCGCTCTACCACTTGAGCTACAGCGCCACTTCCGGTTTTCTGGTGTTTTTATTGGAGATAGGAGTCTCACGGTCTCTCCTGCCTGGGCTGGCTTTGAACCGCGATCCTCAGATCTCAGCCTCCTGAGTAGCTAGGATTACAGATGTGAGCCACCAGCGCCCGGCTAAGCAGTCAAATCTTGTCTCCAAATTTGGAGATTTTTTTTTTTAATCTCAAAGTAACTAGCAAAGTGCTGGAAGGTGAGCCATGGCTCAAATGGTAGAGTGCTAACGATGTGTGAAAAAGCTGAGTTGAGAGTGCAAGCTCTACTTTCAAGCCCCCAAGTATTGCTAAGGACCAAAAAAGCAAACAAGTTAAAAAGAAATGTCCCTGGGGACTTTATTTTAAAAGTGTTCCTCAGAACTGTTTGGTTCATAGGCCTTATTTTGCTTGCTAGTTTTTTGTTGTGCGGTTGTGGGCTTAAACTCTGGGCCTGGACCCTGTTCCTCAGCTCTTCAGCTCAAGGCTAGTAGTGCTCTACCACTTGAGCCACAGTGTCATTTCAGTTTTCTGAGTGTTTTATTGGAGATAAGAGTCTTACTGAATTTCTTGCTGGAGCTAGCTGGCTTTGAACCCTGATCCTTAGATCTCAATCTCGGCCTCCTGTAGCTAGGATTACGGATGGCGAGAGCCATCAATGCCCTGCTGCTTGTTAGTTTTTTTTTTGTTTTTTGGTTGGTCATGGGGCCTGAACTCTGGTCTGGGCGCTGTCCTTCAGCTCAAGGCTAGCACTTTACAGTGCCACTTCCAACCTTTTCTGTTTATGTGGTTTTGATCGAACCCAGGGCCTCATGCATGCAAGGCAAACACTACCACTGCACGTTAGTTTTGAGATAGGTTCTCAAGAATTTTTCTATTTGGGCTGGGCACTGTTAGCTCATGTGTAATCCTAGCTACTTAGGAGGCTGAGATGTGAGGATTGCAGTTTGAAGCTAGACTGGGCAGAAAAGTCCCCATGCTCTTATCTTCACTCAAAAACTGTTAGTGGCCCTGTGGCTCAAGTGGTAGAGTGCTAGCCTTGAACACAAATAGTCTCAGAGACAGGGCCCAGTCCCTGAAACTTATCAACCGACCAAAAAAAAAAATCCCCCCCCCCATTTGAAATGACTTAAAATCTCAATCCTCTCCCTCTCAGCTTCCCCAGTAGCTCAAAGACACTTGGTTTGTAGCCTAGTACTTTGGTATTTCTAAGATATAAAGGCCAAGACTTTATAGTGAGTTTGATTTGTATAGTAAGACAGGCCAGAAAGTTCTTGTAAACTTTATGGTAAAAAAAAAGTACTTGGGGCTGGGAAGGTGGCTCAGTGGTAGAGCGCTTGACTTGCATGCCTGAGGCCCTGGGTTTGATTCCTCAGCACCACATAAGCAAAAAGAAAAAAAACCGGAAGTGGCACTGTGGCTCAAGTGGTAGAGTGCTAACCTTGAGCTGAAGAGCTGAGGGACAGTGCCCAGGCCCAGAGCTCAGGCCCCACGACCTGAACTCCCCCCCCCCCCAAAAAAAAAAGTGTACTTCACCAGGCGCTGGTGGCTCACGCCTGTAATCCTAGCTACTCAGGAGGCTGAGATCTGAGGATCAGATCGTTCAAAGCCAGCCCGGGCAGGAAAGTTCCTGAGACTCTGATCTCCAATAAAACGCTAGAAAACCGGAAATGGTGCTGTGGCTCAAGCGGTAGAGCACAGGGACAGCGGCCAAGCCCAGAGTTCAAGCCCCACGACCGACAAAAAAAACAAAAAAACAAAAAAACTTGAATTTCACAAGTAGAAATAATTGCCAAGCAGCTCAGGGTTGTTTTCTGAGATAAGTACACCTTGTTTGGTAGTTTAGCACCCTCTGGTTTGGAAGAACTTCCCTCTGTCACTAGTCTCCATGGTTTAGTGGGAGTTAATTTAGGCATCTATTTCAGTGTAGAACTATCATTTCCTTTCCAGAGAACCCTCACCTTTAGATTAGTCTCTATTCTGCTCTTTGACTGGAGTCATAAACACAGAAGCTATGGGAGAGCAAGTGCTGTCAAATATAACAGGAAGCAAAGTTGAAAAGAGAGCAAACTTTTATATATATATATATATATATATATATATATATATATATATAAGCAAAAATACAAGACAACAATTAGTATCCTAGCTGGGACCAGTGGCTCACACTTGTAATTCTAGCTACTTAGGAAGCTGCAATCTGAGGGCTGTGGTTCAAAACCAGCCCGGGCAGGAAAGTCCACCAGACTCTTATTACCAATTAATCACCAGAAAACGGATGTGGTACTGTTTCTTAAAGTGGTAGAGTGCTAGCCTTGAGCAAAAGAACTCAGGGACAGCACCCAGGTCTTGAATTTAAGCTCTAAGACCTCCTTCCCCTAAAAAAAAAATTCTTTTTACTAGATGAAATGCTATGTAGCTATTAGCAATTATAATTTTGAAAAGTGGCTATGTGATAGAGATTCTGTGCTAGAAATACATAATAATGGTGAAAAGAAGATTCTTGTGGAGAGAAGATGGATTCTGGTACATATGGATTTGAATTTCTTCACCCATTTGCATCAGCTATTTACTTATTTATTGAGTGAATTCCAGAATTAAAGTATCTCAAGAGCTTGACTCATAGCACAAAAATGTGAATATTGATTATTGTTTATATAGACATGTACACTTTTTTTACTATTGAAATAGACAAGAGGAGAATATTAAAAATGATAATTTGGGCAGGCGCTGGTGGCTCACTCCTGTAATCCTAGTTACTTAGGAGGCTGAGATCTGAGGATCCCAGTTCAAAGCCAGCTTGGTGAGGAAAGTCTGTGAGACTCTTATTATCTCTAGTGAGCCACCAGAAAACTGGAAGTGGCACTGTGGCTCAAGTGGTAGAGCACCATTAGCTTTGAGCTGAAGAGCTGAGGGACAGTACTCAGTTAGGCCCAGAGTTAAAGCCCTATGACCTGCCCCAACCCCAAATAGTTTGTGTTTTGTGATTAAAATTGTATTAAATTATTTATTTTTTTTGGTCATGGGGCGTGAACTCTGGGCGCTGTCCCTCAGCTCTTCAGCTCAAGGCGAGCGCTCTACCACTTGAGCTACAGCACCACTTCTGGTTTTCTGGTGGTTTATTGGAG